GTTGTAATACTTTTTATGTTTCTCGTCATTTTCCTCAATAGGGATGTGATAGTTTCCCAACATTGGAGAACCAATTTCATCGTAACCGTCTGCGGGCGATAAAGACTTTGGAGTAAAATTCGTGACGTCATTTGCAAATTCGTCAACGCACGCTTTGCCAGAATTATCTGCGGTCGGTATTTCTACGTTCAAATCTGGCCTCTGATTAATATGGAATGATGAAGATGATGATGATGAAGATGAAGAGGAGGATGAAGATGATGATGATAAAGATGAGGAGGATGAGTAGGACGATGGAGACGGAAATAATGAAGAAGAAGAGGGTGGTGATGAGATAATGGTAGAGATGATGATACAAGTTAATTTTCCAACTTAATCAATCAAAATATCGATTGATTGGTCAATCAATCAATCGATCGATCGATCGATCGATCGTTCAATCAATCAACCAACCAACCAACCAACCAACCAATCAATCAATCAACAAACCAACCAACCAACCAATCAATCAATCAATCATTTGCTCGCTCGCAAACCTCTCCACTGCCTGCTTTCATATAAGTCCAACTATGTTTTTGTTGTCTATTTTTGTTGTTGTTGTTGCTGCTGTTGTTATGATTCGTCCCACTGATGAAACTATTTTTTATCGCTTTTATAACTTTAGGTAAATTTAAACTGAAGTTGAACGATGCGTTGTTATTGTTGTTGTAGTTATTAGCAATAATGTTGCTATTATTATTGTTGATTGTATTATTATTATTATTTTTTTTAATGGTTGTCCGCTTGTCAACTGTGTTTATGTAAATGTTTGTGTTGTTGTTGTTTTTGTTGTTGAGGACACTAATGTTGTGTCTTTTTTTAATTTTGTTGTTGATGTCGTTGTTGTTGTTGATGTTGTGGTTGTTGTTGATGACATCAATGTTGTTGTTGTTGTTGTTGTTTACCGACGAAAAAAAATAACCATTACCAACAGCATCTTCGTGGTTCTTGGTTTTGTGTGATATCGGGAGTGATAAGTTTAAAACGTCACCGTTGATATTTTTGATGTTGTTGTTGTTGTTGTTGCTGTTGAAGTAATTTTTATTGTTGTTGATGTTGTTGTTGATGACATAACTGCTGTTGGATTTTAACATTGCAGGCGTAGACAGCATTGTTTTTTGTTTTCTCGTCGGTTTCTTGTTGAGGCAATTTGTTGATTGTTGTCGTGGATGTTGTTGTTGTTGCTGCTGCTGCTCTTTAATGACGTCAGAGTTTAGCTTAGTTAATGATTTTCCACTTGTTAATTTGGCGTTGAATGAGGAATCTGATGATTTTGGTTGTTGTTGTTGTTGCTGCTGCTGCTGTTGTTGTTGTTGATGATGTAGTTGTGGTTTACTGAAATAATTATTGTTGTTGTCTATGTAAAATATCGTCTCGGATCTTTGCCGGTTCGTTTTTCTGATGAGAGTGTTGCTGTTGGTGTTGTTGTTGATGATGATGACATTATTCTTATTAGTACTGTTGTTGATGATGTCAACTTTGTTGCTACTGTTGTTGTTGTCTTCGTCAGTGGCACTAAAGTTTGTCGGTGATTTGTTATCTGATTCACTTTTATTCCAAAGCGTCAGTGATGACGTCAACGATGACGATGTTGTTGCTGACGGCGGCTTGGAAAATAAGTAAGTTGTTGTTGATGATGATGATGATGATGCTGATGATGAAGAGGATGATGATGATGACGATAAAACCGATGATGATGATGATAATGATGTTTGCGATGACGACGATGATGATGATGTCGTTGCTGCTGCTGCTGCTGCTGATGATGCTGATGATGACGACATTAATTTGTGTAGCGGCGAAAAGTTTGGAATTGGCGGTAGTGGGCGTTTCGTCGATTGTGGCCGCGATCGTAGCTGCTGGCCGTTATTATTATTATTACTATTATTATCATTGCTACTATTCAAGTTATTCCCATCATTGTCATTTTTATAATTAATATTGTCGATATTATTATTATTGTTGTTGTTATCATTATTATTATTATTATTACTATTATTGTTTATTTCTCTATGGAAAGCTTCCCGCCTTACAAGACTTAATCTTTTTTTTGTTGCTGAAGTGTTTGTTTCATCACCATCCGCTGATTTTTGTTGTTGTTGTTGATGTTGTTGTTGTTGTTGTTGTTGTTGATGATGTTGTTGTTGTTGATGTTGTTGTTGATGTTGTTGTTGTTGTTGTTGTTGCTGTTGTTGCTGTTGTTGTTGTGTTGGCGACATTATATATTCATAATCTTCAGTGTGATCTCTTAAAGGAGCTAACGTTATCTCTGTGGGAAGAACAAAATTTGGTTTATTTTAAATAGGTTTCAAGTTTCTGGCAATTTTTATCGCGGGCTCCCTACGAGCGATTGAATGAACAGTTTCAACGTTTTAACTATATTCAAAATATTTTAAAGTGTTTTTATTTTTTTGCCGGCTCTCTGCTACGTTTAACTAATAACTATTATTATTAAGGATTGAAATGAATAGTGTCAGCCAATCAGCAGCCAACCAAACAATCATTCAAGCAATCAATAAATAAATCAATCAATTACTCAACCAATCAATCTATCAATCAACCCACCTCACCCTACAAACCGTCCATCTCAGCTTTTGAATTTTCAAAAAAGATCGAAGCAAGGCTAGAAATTTCAATTAAATCTCCATAACCATCCAGACAGCTATTGTCAGCTATAGCTAGGGTGATTGGATAATAAGCCGGTATTAAACAGACATCAGTCGGTTTCAGTCGAGTTTTACGGTGTCGTTGTAGTGACGTGATCGGTACGCAAATAGCGAAGTATTCGTCGAATATTTCGGTAATTGTGAGGGGGGAGTGAAAGGTTTTGGGAATGCTTGCGGGCTTCACTGTCACTAGGTCTATGGACATCTGTTTTTGGAAATTGTGTATAATAATAATTATGATAATTATAATATTAATCTGATATGATAAGATGATAATTATGATAATTATGATAACTATAATATAAATAGATTAATAAAGTATTAATGGACGCAAGGAAAAATCATAGGCCCCTATCTAATATTAAGAGTTACTGACAATAACAACTTTAAAACACAAAAAAAAACTTAATCTTAAACGAAGTCGCAAAGACACAAATGTGATATATATCAAAAAATGACAGATTGTAAGTGAGACATTATAATGAACCGAGCAAAATAAATTACACAATTCAAAACGATTAGAAATTATTTCAAGTTAAAACTGTTGTTTAAAATTATTCTCCTCGACAATATCATGGCTCATCTCAGTCATGAACATGAAGTTATTAACTGGTCTCTCTCTCCAGGGATGAATGAAAAGGAGTTTAAAATGTAAAAATTGATTGCTATCAATCCCAATTGCCTACTGCACACAGTTAAAATATACTTCCACAAGAGTGATGTTTTAATAAGAATAAATTATAATGATTAAAAATAGAGAGTTAACTAAACACTGTCAAAAGTCTGCTTGTAAAACACTTAGGCCTCTTTCATAAACTTTATGAGCAATTGCAATCAACATGTTTTGTTTTAAGGAGGAATGACAACGTTTTTAAATATTACAATTTTGCAATGAAATGAAGTTTCGCGACAAAAGTCTTGATAAAAAATTTTTTATACCTTAATGACCATATAATGAGTTTAACAGTTAGCGACAACTGATAAAAGTCAGTAAAACCTCAATAAAAGTTTCCTTAAAAATTTGATGTGATACAAACAAACGGGCCACAGATTTGAAATCAGCGTGCTAAAATTAACCTAAAACAAACCCACTTACTAAAGAGAGTAAAAAAAAAATTTTATGTATGCCAGTGCAATTACTTTATGCTAATTATGACGGTAATGTAAATCTCCAATCATCTATAACTGACCTGAACAATCTGATTGGCTAGCAGTAAATTCCGCGATCTCATTTCCTTCAATGCCATTGGCTGGAGCGAAATGACGTCATTGTGGAGCGAATCGTTACCGAAGAGTGTAAATTTCATTTGGGAATTAGTTGGCATAGTTACCAGTTGATCGTCATTGGTCAGCATCTTAATTCTTTCCTGACTGACCAATGACGTCATGAGGAGGACCTAGAAATAGATTATGACGTAATGAAAGGATATTCTAAAAATAGACATTGCGCTGTACATTAATTATAGCAGGAAAAAACGCCAAANAATCATCTTAAATATCTATCCAAGTTTTTTAAGTACTAAAATAATAATACAAAATAATTGAAATCAATAATAAGTGCGAAAAATAAACGAATAAAAGAGTAATAATAACAATAATATGAATATAAATAATATTATAAATAAAAAAAATAATAATAATAAACTGACTGATCCAATAGCAAGGCCCTTCTGTTCTAGATCATTATATCCCAAATCATATCTCTTTATTATTTTCACCACCAATGGAAGAGAAAATTTTTCCGGAAATACGTCACTTCTGCCAGAGACAGGCGCGTTATCTTTAACTCGTTTAGCATCTTTTACCAACTGCACTAGCTGTCCCATGGTTCCTTTCCAGCCATTCCATCGGAATTGGATGTCGCCGCCATTTTGAATTGACGAAGACGTCATCTAAGGATGAATCTCAGTATTTTATTTGAAAATGTATTAAACTTAATTTTGGCCTCTATTCCTTTGTTGTCATTTTACATAACTATCATTATTATTACTATTATTTTTAGTAGCAGTAGTAGTAGTAGCAGTAGTAGTAGTAGTAGTAGTAGTAGTAGTAGTAGTAGTAGTAGTAGTAGTAGTATTGACCTTTTAACATTTAATAAAAGCAACAACGAACTAATATTAATATATTACTGATATACTGTAACCATTATTTATTATTTAATCAGTCTTATTAGTATTGTTACAATATTACTATAATAATCATTACTCTATACTTAACTAGTATTATTACTGTTTATATAACTTGTATATAGGCATTTGTATTCAGTGTGCCTGACGTTCTTCTACTCACATTCATTCGGATCCTTGTATGGTTTATTCAGATTTACAAAAGAAACAACAAATTTTGTTATAAAAAAAACTTTTATTATCTCTCTCTTCAAACTTCTATTTCTTTCTTAATTATTTTATTTATAAATGTCAAAATGAAAAAAAATACAACATGATATTTATGCGAAAAAAACCAACACACACACACATATATATATATTTATACACATACATATATATATATATATATATATATACACTTATACATATATATATATAGAAAGATATAAAAAGAGAGAAAAAGAGAGAGAGAGAGAGAGAGAGAGAGAGAGAGAAAAAAAAGTTGGTTAGAGAGAGAATTTATTAAAAATTTGTCAAACAAGCAGAGAGCCGAAATTTCTGACTACATGAATGAGAAACTGCTCATAACAGCCAATGGGATGACGGCATTGAACGGCACGCACACGCACACACACACTCACACACACTCACGCACACACACACACTCACGCACACACACAACACACACAAATACAACTGGAGTCATTTGGTATAACAAAATTTCAATCCTCGTTTAAAGTTTTCATCAGTTTCAGTTAAGGGTCGGAATTTTTTTTGCTTCATTCATCAGTTTCTGTTGTATAACAAAATAACAATAATATATTGAATGTTCTCCTTAAATACTAAAGAACACAACAAATTAAAAATATTATATATATAATTATAAATTTACATATATGCGTGTGTTTACACGTTAACATATTTACATAATTAATAACCTCATTAATATTTATGAAATATTATTGTTATTATTATACACTTTTTTAAACGAAATATTTTAAAAGTTTATAAAATGAACATAAGCCAAACAAACATGATTCAAGTGCAAGTGCTTATCAAACACACACACGCACGCACACACACACGTATACACACATGTACACACGCGCGCACAACACACACACACACACATAAACAAACACAAACGAGAAGATTGATTATCATTACACACATATAATTTCAACACCTAAACAATAAGAGTTAAGAGTTATTTGCTAAAAATAGCATTATAAGAAATATATATATATATATATTTCTTATAATGTGAAGGATAGGAGGAGTAGTACAGAGCTGATGTCAATGATGGGACTGAATGAGGACATTGTGACATTGATAAGGAGATCGAGATTGCGGTGGTATGGACATGTGTTGAGAAGGGATGAAAGGGTCGGGATTAGGCGAGCGTTGGAGTTCGAGGTTGAAGGAGTGGTAGGAAGGGGTCGTCCGCGATTGGGATGGAGAGAGCAGGTGGAGAAGGACAGGGTGAAAGCGGGGTTGCGTGATACTGAGGCGAGTGACAGATGTGGATGGAGTCGAGGGGTATTTCGGTTTCATCATAGGTAGCCAAGCGGCAACCCCCGATCTCGGGGAAAATGCCGTCTAAACGTGTGTTTGTTTGTTTGTTTATATTTCTTATAATGCTATCTATATATATGTGTGTGTGTGTGTGTGTGTGTGTGTGTGTGTGTGTGTGTGTGTGTGTGTGTAAAAATTGAGTAAAATTCTTCTAATATAAATGTATGTAGTATGATAAGCAGTGTGAATAATACTTGTTGTTTGAATAAATTTGTCAGTCAAAACACAGACATACACACCACAGACACACGCTATCAAAGGCACACACAAACAAGCAAACAAACAAATACACACAGCTATACACACACGCACGCACACACACATTTGCTATGAATGACTGTCAAGTAATACCTTTGTTATAATAGGAAATACTTCTTGCCAACTCTCCAACAAATGTTAGAATATCTTCTCAATTAAAACTCAAAACTTCTTACAAAGTGTTAAAATAATTTCTTCTTCTAGATTAGAATTGTAAAATCATCGCCATCATAACCATCACCACCGTAATCATTATCATCATCATCATCTTCATCATCATCATTTTCATCGTCTGTAATTACTAATTATGATTAATTAACCATAATTAATTACCAAAGCGATTTAGGATATAATTGAAGGTGTATTCAAAAAAATGGAGGGGCAACTCCAACATATTTTCATGCTGAACACCCCTCATGAATCTTCCTGTCATCGCATTCACTCTTTCCATGAGTTGTTGTTGTTGGTAGTTGTTGTGTGCGTTGGGATTGATGTTGATGTTATTGTGGATGTTGTTGTTGATGTTAGAGTTGCTGTTGATGTTGTTGTTGACGTTGCCGATGTTAAGGTTGCTGTTGTTGATGCTAGAACTGTTGCCGATGCTGTTGTTGATGTTGCATTCGTGGATGTCATTGTTGATGGTGATGTCTTCGATGACGTCATCATCTTTGTTGATGTTGTTGTCCAGTTGTTTTGCTAGGCCGTTGATTTCGTTGTTGTCATTTGTGGTGGTGATGACGTCATCCTTGTTCAAGCTGTTGTTGTTGTTGTTGTCAATGTTCACACCTTCAGCAACAACATCATTATCCTTCAAGGTCACGCTTAAACTGCTGTTATTAATGACATTGTTGTCGTTGTTGTTGTTGTCGTTGTTGTCAAAGATACTAATAGAAGAGCCATCATCATAATCTTGCAGTATAAAGCTGACAATGTCAAAAGCATTTGCTGATGAATTGCCATTCAACTCCTCACCAGGATTAATATAATTGTTAATTATATTATAATCATAATTACCAAAATTATGATTATTATTAAATAAAAAATTATTGTAGTTATCAATTCCGTTATTATTATATATATTATTATTTATATTATAACTACCATTATTAGTAAATGTTAATTCATCTATGTGCCCATTAAGAAAAATGTTGAAATCATTAACATTATTATTATTATTATCATTGCAATTATTATTATTGTTATTATTGTTGCTGCTGTTGTTGTTGATGTTATAACAACTACAACCATTACTATCTTCAAAAAGTTTATTATTATTATTATTCTTGTTGTTGTCGTTATTATTATTATAATTATTATTTCTGTTTAGCTTTCCATCATTTTTTCTCTGTTTACCTTCAGAGAGATTCACGTCAGCACCTGATTCCTTAGTGATTACTTTATCAACATTTTTATTATTCCTATTTTTCTTGTTATTATTTTTCTTATTTTTCTTGTTATTATTATTATTGTTCTTCTTCTTCTTCTTCATGGTTTCGTCATCAATAGTATTATGCGAAAACAATAACTTCTTCCTCACTATATTTTTGATCTTTGGTTTTTTAATTATCACACTTTTCGTATTTGGACTCAGTGTCAATGGAGATAAGAGAACCCTAGGCAGTAATTCACAGCTGCCAACTTGACTAGAGTGCAGTTGAACCCGAGAATGTTGAGATGACTGTTTGTTGCATGGTGAAGAATATTTTTTTGACTTCAACTTGCTTTGAAATGTTTGTGGCGTTCTATACTTTAAAATAATTTTTAGGTTATTGTTGGTGGTGGTTTTCAGTTTGAGTTTTGTATATTCAGAGTTTTTCTTTAGATCTAAAAAAAAAATCCCATAATATTCTTTCAGAGGATGTTTTTTATTTGTTTTTATAGGTGTATTTAAAAGTTTAAAATGTAATGTATCAATGATTAAAACATCCTTTTGAAGTAATTTAAATTTAATCAGTCAGTCTATAGTCTATACATACATACATGCATACATACATACATGCATACATACATACATACATACATTCATACATACATACAAACATACATACATACATACATACATACATACATACATACATACATACATACATACATACACACATACATACATACACACATACATACCTACACACTAAAAACACAAAGACACACACACCGCAAACACGCACAAACACAAAGACACATACACAACCATAAAATTGAATAAACTGTTTGCTAATTTTTTGAGATCCAATACTGAATACATTTACACAAATTTAAAAATCAGGGACAAAAAAAAATAAAAAAATAAACTTATACATGAAAATAGAATCACAGAAGGAACAATTCCTACCTTTATACATGTTTTCCAAACTGTTGCAGTCATCTTGGGAGTCGTGGAGCAACTGGGGATTACCCCTTACCCTCTTCATCATCGTTTCACGCAAAATTTTGTACTTCTCAAGAATAACAATTCTGTTAGGAAGAGGTTGTCTGCCGTAGGCCCCAAAATCATCGTAAATGCCGAAATCGCAGACGACAATCGTCATACCACTCTTAAATTTGTTAGTAAATGGCTTCTTCAAATATACGACGAAATATTCATTTAAATAAATTCTGTAATTATTCAAATTCGAGAATCTAATGTTCGCATTTTGCTTGTTCAGAAATGCTTTTTCGATAGCCAATTTCAAAAAAATGGCCTCCACGCATATCGAAGAATCGGCTACAGTAACTTTCAAATCAGACGAAAAATCAACAGTCAATCGGGAGTTCAGAATCCGGACACATTTCCGGAGATTCTGTATCTCATACGGCTGGGTGCAGCGCAAAAAATCGTACAACCAATTCAAGTCAGACATCAGCGGTTTACCGTCAGCCTAACCAGGAAATAAGAACACACACACGTGGAATGATTAGGAAATTTAAATTTACCACTATTGGAAAAGTGGATGGGGCAAAAAATTATTATTTTTGATATTTTTTTCGTTGTTTTAATTGTGAAATTTGATTTTATACAATTATTTTTTTTCAAACAAATTGTAATTTTCAATCCAAAATACGGTTTCTTCGGTTAGAATTTTTTCTAAGTTTTCCATATTGGAAGTACCTTGATTAAAGATTTCAGTTTCACTTTTAAATTTTACTTAAAAGTAGATTTGAATAATATCAAAATCATAAGCTTGTTTCCTTAATGGAAATCCCTAAGCAATGGCGTTAAAAGTTAATTTTTGAACACTTTATCAACATTTTATTTAATTTCTTATTAGTTGAAATTTTTATTCATCAAATTCTGTTGATAAATTTGAATTGATTTGTCAAATTTATTAATTTCTTTTTTGATTTTCTGTTGTTTTTTAATTTATTTAATTATGGTTATAATTAAAATAAATTAAATTAATTTAAAAAATAACTGCAATAATTAATAAGTATGTCGAAATCTCTGGTTCAAACAAACCAAGAGTACACAGCTTGGAAGAGATTCTACCTTGCCAGAGCCAAACTGCAAGCCTCTAGCAAAACTTCTGCACTCTTATCAGGATTTGTCATGGTGATATACACAAAAAATACAGATATACTTTATATTTTTTATTAAATTTTTATTTTTTATCTAAATATTTAATATTCAGGTGTCAATGGTTGAGCTCTCTTTAGAGAAAGAAAACCTGCCCTCTCAAGGTGTTGTTGTAGCATTTGCTGCCTGCACAGCTCTCGTGGTAGCAGTGTACTTAATTGCATTATTGGTTAGTACATGCATCTTACCCCACCTAGAAGCCGTAGATGGTGTAAAGAAGCACCCATCAGCATTAAAAGACTCCCCACACGTTGGTCTTCATGTTTTCATCGAACTAGCCTGGATTTTTTCTACAGGAATTGGAATATTCTTATTTCTTTGCCAGATGATTCTTCTGGCCTGGCTTCGATTTAGAATGATTGATTTACCGTCTGCTATCGTCGTTACAGCAATTATATTTCCTGTTATTATTATTTTTATAGTTTTTTCAGTGATTTTTTATAGGAAACTTGTCTCTTTTCGGTATAGACAGAGGGTTATCGAACTAGATGAGTTAGAGAGAGGTTTTAAACAGTTGAGTACAAGTATTGAGGATTTAGGATTTAAGGATAGCTACTCCAGAAGAAATTCCTTACCAATTCTGGTGATGTGACTGGTGTAATTGGGCGCTTAAGCCCAATTACACCAGTCACATCACATTCGTTACATCAATTATTTACCACCTATTACATTTGAACATTTTCGTTTATTAATGATGTACGCATTCCTGCATCAGTTATGTTCAATTTTAATTATCTTACAGTTATCACATTTCTATTTTCATCTTTGTGCTGCCACTTCAACTGAAATGTTAAATGTTTTTTTCATATATGTTAAAGTGTCAAACGAGTGCGCGCACACTCACTCACTCACCACACACACATACACACACACACACAGGTTTATAGCTTTTCATACTAAATGATATTACAATGTATTTTTATCAATATATATATATTATAAATATATATATTGGACATATATATATATCAATATATATATATATATATATATATATATATATATATATATATTGATGAAAATCACAGCATGTTTTGCGTTAGTTAGTTTCCTGTTTAATTTTTATATATTTTCAACATGATAGAACAAAAAAAACTTTTTTCGGTATTCCTATACCATCTTTTGTGTTGGAATTGATACGTTGTGTGTGTGGCCAGATGGGCCAGATGCGAAAGTATATATATCCTGTGTCTCTACAATTCTTGTTTAATGTGAATATGGTCATTATATATAATATATATATATATATATATATATATATATATATATATATATATTATGGTTGTTAAGGTAAATATCAACGCTCAGCCGAGAAGCGCGAATTAATTTATTTAATTACATATTATTAATAATATATTTAATTAACTACATATTATTAATAATATGTAGTTAATTAAATAAATTAATTCGCGCTTCTCGGTTGAGCGTTGATATGTATATATCTGTATATATATATGTATATATATATGTATATAACACGTTATTGTTTGATTCTTTTCATGTTTTTTATGAAATAGTGAATATTGTCAAACATATCTAGAGAGCATAAGAGCACGATCACTGCTTTTCTAAGCCGTTAGAGAAGGGGTGGGCAAACATGGGAAGCTATTATATGCGACCCACGAGTCCTTGTTCTTCAAAAAAAGGATCGACATTATGACCAAAAAAAGGAGCATAAAATCTCTTAAAAAAATTCTTCCCCGAGTCGAAAAAATTTGATATTTAAGTACATATGCGGCCCTTCAGAGGTAAAATAGTTCTCAATGTGGTCCTCAGCAAAAAGTTTGCCGCGTTAGAAAAATCGAAAAATTAAATAGGAAGATATCTAACTACGGAACATGCTTGGATTTTCATCTGTAATCCAATATTTGAAGAAATGTATAAGGGAAAGATTTCTTTATTTGCCTTGTAGACAAGGGTTATTTTATTTTCTTTATATTTTTTATTTTTTAAAATGTTTAATTCGTGTCTGCAACACGTCTTAAATCTGGCATCAGCGATACACTTTTGAGTGTTGCTAACGGCCTTGTCTTGTTATATTTTTATGTGATTTTAATTATAATTGAAAATACTTGCTTATTTTTTAGTATTTCTACTCGAAGTATTTGCAATCAGTAATTCTCGTTACTTTTTTAAAGTAAAAGTATAATGATTGCAAATATTTATTCCAGAAATATAGCAATAATTGATACATTTCAATACTACACACACATTTACATACACATACTCACATGTAGACAGACAAACACACGTAGACAGACGTACAATGTAGACAAACTATTTATCGTCTCATCTAACGCCTTCTTTATACATATGCGCATGTATCCTATATTTTCCTACTTTAAGAGGGAACAACAATGATAAAATGATCACTTAATGTTAATTTATGCAAAATTCATTCAAGCTTTCTCACGATAATAATCGTTGAATTATTAACCACATGTTTGTCTGCGTGTAAATTAGTATTTTTATGCACTTTTTTTTTAAAGAAAATTATGTGTCTGTATGATGTTGAGTATACGTTTCGAACTTAATATGTTTTTTGTCTGTATGTATGCACGAATCGGAAACTATTTAACTGTGATTACTATTATGACAAATTGCAACCGATTTTAAAATGAAATCATTTAAATAACTCAGCAAGCTTATGCACTACAATCCTATTTTTAAATTCTTTACTGCAACAGCAGAAAAAGCCTTTTTGAACATTTTACTATCTTCTAGACGATGAACATCCTATAGATTTTTTGATAGCTTCTATATAAACGACTTCTACATGGTATGTCTTGGAAAAAATTGTATATTGCTAATAAAAGGAAAGAATTAGCTAAAACCAAATATGCACATATGTATGTTTTTTATGTGTGCGTGTGTGTGTGTGTATGAAAAATAGCATCAAAATTAAGCTTAGATAATGATGGTTCATCAATAATGTTTCACTAAAATGAAAGTTTAATGATTAAATCTTTGAAAATAATTAAACACACACAAACACTCATTTATAAATAAATAGCATTAAATTCTCTTCAGCCATATATAAATAAATAAGGCCACATAATATGATTCTACTGCTGTAAAGTAAACGCGAGAAAGTACAAAGAAATGAATCTAACATAATTATTAATTAAAATAAAATTTTTTTAAGATCATAATTATCATCATCAATATTATTAGTTTTTTTTATTTAGAAGGTTGGATTTTCGTGATCTTTGGTAAATTCTTCTTGGAGTTAGGATTAGTTGGGGACGTGAATGTCACGACCTCCTCCTTCCACTTTATTTTATGATACCTAGATGTCGCAATTGCTGAAATATTTATAAATTCATAATTATTATTTTGTAATAATTATTATTATAATCATAATTATTATAATTATTATCCAGAATTACGTGGACGTGATAGTGGAAGAGGTGCCTAGCAAATTCACTCACACCTAAATCACATACAACGTCTTCGCTAACGTGTATTCCCAGTCGTTGGGTTGATATTCCTTCTGCCTCCATTGATTATGGTGTTCTCGATGGTCAGCTTGTCTAAATCTGTCTGGGAGTTTATTATGATATTATTATTACCATTTCATAAAATATTATTATTGTTAGTTGGGGGTAAAATAGCCTTTGGAAACCATAGACATTAAAGCCACAGCAAAAACATAGACAGCAAAAACAGATACAACTAGACAACAAAACCACATGCAACTATGTCCAAAACAACAAAAATGCGGCCAGCAAACCAACACAGAAATCAAATAAAAATAAACAACAAAAACATTAAGCAACAAGCAGCATAGATAAAAAGCATAGACAGCTAACTATGGAAAGACCATCTTCTAAATTAGCTAATATCGGTGATGGAATGCCGTGTTCGTCAATTTGTCTCGTTTTGGATCTGGTGATGATGCTTCGAGTCACCGTTTGTTGACATGGTTTGAAAATCTGAGCATAATAAAAATAAATAATTATTCATAACATATAATATATTTATATATTCGTGCACAAACAATTTTTTGTAGCTATTTATAAATTTAAAAAAAAAACTTAAAAAAATAGATAGACTAACATTTGTACTAACATTCTTGCCGCCAAAGATGTTATTGTTATTATCATCTTTACTATTGGTAGTAAAAGAAGTAGCTACTGTAGCAGCAGCAATACTAGTATTAGTATTAGCATCACTATGTTTTCTAGCGAACAATTTATTGCCAACTTCACTGTTGCACATTCTAGCGGTCACATTATACGAACTGGATCTTCTGTGCGTCCTGAATAAATTAAACTGTCTACTTTTTCTATCTCTTTTCATAGCCTGGTCGGGTTTTTCCAAGATGGAAAGATTTTCTAATTTTAGATCACTAACTGGATCAGATTTGTTGGTGAAGTTTGAAAGACATATTCTCTTCTGCTCGCAGGGTTCGATCGACAGTCGGCTGACAATGTCGTTGAGGTTGTTATTGCTATTGAGTTTACCTTCGTTCTCTAGAGATTTTATCGTACGTTTGTGGTTTCTGAGGAAATAAGGATGATGCTGCGATGATGATAACGATGGTTGCTTGAAAAGAAGTGATGATGATGATGTTGGTAGTGGTGATTTTGGTAGAGATGATGTTTGAGAAGCTGCTGATGCTGATGGCAGTGTCGATGATGATGTCACTAGTGATGATGATGTTGTTATTGATGACGATGTCAATGATGAAGATAATAACGACGATGACGTCAATAACGAAGATGATGATGATGTCATCAACGCTAATGATGAAGAAGAGGACAACGATGATGATGACGTCTGAAAGATTGGCAATGGCGATGACGATAACGTCTGATTGGTAGGCAACAATAATGACGATGAATTTTGTGAAATTTCATTTTCTTTGTTTGGCAAATTTGTTTTACAATCGTTGAATGATAAAGGGGTGGGCAACTTTTTTAGCGATAAAGATGACTGGTGCAATGACGACATGGAGGAATAATGATTCCTAATCACTTCCTTAACCTTATTGCTAGTGAATGCGGTGAAAGTAAACATCTCCTCGTTGAAATTTTTTGATGGACTCGGGAAAACCAACTTCACCATCGTTCTACTGTTCATTGGGCAGTGATTTCGGTGACTTTTGAGGTTTTGGTAGCATTCGTTTCGCTTTCGAATGATAGGAAGTTGATTGTTGGTTAAATTAGTGATTTTGTTTCTGGTCTTGAGTTGTTGTTGGGAAGGTGGTGGATTGGGGTTTTGGTTTGGTGGAGTGGGAATTTTTTGTTGTGGATTATGTTGTTGTTGTTGCAACTGCTGTTGAGAAACATCATTCTGTCGCGACTGTTGTGAATTGCCATTCTGTTGTTGTTGGTCTTGCTCATGTTGCAGCTGCAGTTGTTGTTGTTGGAATTTTTCATGAAGCAAAGGATGTCTATGTATGGCCGGATCGTAGATTCTTGGCAACGACTCTAGACTAGATCTACAAATAATTCAACAACAACATGGAAATATAATATAAATTTATCATAACAACAATATCATAATATTAATTTACTATCAAAATAAAATTATTATATAAAATAAGAAAATGAAGAAATGCTGCAACAGAAAGACCACCAAGACACAGGTTCACAAAGCAATGTCAACATTGTCGTATTATGTTTATAATTAGAAACATTTATGAACATATAATAATTACAATAATATTACAAACAATTACGTCATAATAATGTCACATTTACGAATAACATTCAAGAAACCTTGTTGTCATAGAGCTGCTGTTCAGTGAACAGAGATTTGCATCATCTTCATTAGACAGATTTAACTGTTGTTGAGAAAAAAAATAATTATAATATATAAATATATATAATATATTTATATATATATGAAAATTATATCATGCACACATGTGCGTGCACATGCAATACACAAACGCAAATTATGAAGGCATAATTTAGTGCATTCAGATCTTAATACATTTTATTATGCAAGCATATTTAAATTTAAAAATATGCATACTTTATTGGATAATGATTCCAGAGAAGCTCCTCTCTCGATGTAAGATAAATTGTTATCACTACTACTATTGCAATTATTATGGTTATTATTGTTACTGTTGTTATTATTATTATTGTTGTTATGACTGTTATGATGGAAACAATTATAATTGAAAAATTTATTAATTATTTCTTTTTTGTAAACTGAAAAAGCACTCATCTTTTCGTCATGTATGCTCTCCGGAGTTTTCACGTTCAGCTTTGGCAAGGAATCTCTTAATGAAGTCATTTTGAAGCTCGGAGTTTTTTTATTGGAATCAAAATTATTATAGTTATAATTATTTGTGTCATAATTATTATTATTAATTTCCTCACAGGATCTGTTAGTATTGGAGTCATTGATGTTATTATTATTATTATCTGTATTACCATCATCAAATTTTTTGAACTTGATCAGACTTTCAAATTCACTTCTTTCATAGGCGTCCACTGGAGTAATCATGTGACGGGCATGTTGAGTTAGGAGATTTGTGTGGTTAGGGTTTGATGATTTGCCTGAGATAAAAATGGCGGTTCTGTGTGGGGATTCTACTGATGAAGACATCATGAAGTCTTCAACACTGTATGAACTATGCATTGCTGCTCTAGTATAAAACTATATAAATTAAAAATAGAAATGTGGTTTTGTCTTTAGGAAACTACATAGAAAATAAATTTATTTTATTTCAATTTTTGAAGAAATTCTTAGGATTTAACTAATTTCGCACTTTTTTGATCTTTCATAGTAGCTTCTTTCAAGTTTAGTTTTACTTTTAAGTTTTACCAGATTTTTTTAGATTATCTGTGGGAAAATAAATAGAAATCTTCAACGATCGCCACGATTAACAGAACATTCAATCAATTTAATAGCCAAATTTTAATAATACTCAAATTTTCAGAATGATGAGCACACAAAAATGAAATAGATTTTTCACCATGCAAGTTACATGTGACATAAACTTCCCGATAAAAAACCAGATTAAATATCAGAAGAATTAAACAACATTTAATGAATATTTTAATTAAAAAATTAATTAAAACAAAAAACAAACCTCTTGAGACAATGAAAATGCGCCAATACAAACAATACAAAGGTGCTATACAACGTTTAAAAGCTTTATAGGTAATTTTAAGTTTGGCGCTCTCAGTAAATCACAGGCTATACTAATAAGCAACTTAGGCTTAATGGCTGTACAACATAACCACCATGAATGTACCTTTTATTCTTTTATACAATTTTCTTAATTTTTTTATCTTTTTCCTATATATATATATATATATATATAATAAAAATAACATAATATAACAAAAATTTTTTATAGTGATCCAAGAAGTCTCTGAGACTTTTTTTAATATCCTACTTTTGCCAAGTTAGCTTTAAAGTTATTAGTTGTTTCTGCGCATATATTTCATCTCCAAATTTGTTCCACTCGTTGACAACTCTGCAGCTAAAAAATTTTTGCTTTATGGATCTCGAGCTTTTTTAATTAAAGATCTTATAACTAAGCCCCCTTGTTTTACTGTTCATCTTAAGCTCAAAAACTTTCGCTGATTCCAAATTCTCCTTCATAGTGATGATTTTGTATGCCTGAATCAAATCTTCACTTGTTCTACTTTTTTCTAATATTGTCAACCTACAAACTTTTAATCTGTCTTCATATGGCATACCGCGACACTCCTTCATCATTCTCGTTGCTCTCTTTGAATATTCTCAAGCATATATTTGTCCTTTTTTAAATATGGATTCCAAAGCTCAACACAATACTCCAACTTAAGTCGAACCAATGCATTATATTGGTTTAATATGACGATCATATCTCTGCTGTTTACAGTTCTTTTCATCATACCCAGAATCCTGTTTTCACTTTTAGCTGCCTCGATGCTTTGCCGCGCTACCTTACCATTCCGATAAATTATCACCCTTAGATGCTTTTCATCCTCTACATTTTTAGTGGTGTGTCTCCAAGTTTGAAAACTTTTGTCTTGTTGTTTGCTCCCACGTGTATGACTGCACATTTGTTAGTGTTGATACCATCTGCCAATCCTCTCCTATTTGCATATTTTTTGCAAATTGCATCCTAGAATTTCAATATCTTCATCGTTGTCTACAACAACACATAATTTAGTGTGGTGAGCAAATTTTGAAATTTCAGACTTTATTCCTAGATCGACATCATTAAAACAAATTAATTCAAATTTAGAAGTTTAAGACACATATTGTCAGACCAGGCGATAGTTGAAGAAAGACATAGAGATAGATTATGAAAAACACTATTGAGATTAGATGGAGGAAAAGAATACATATTGTTACATATGTAGGCGCGCATTCGAATTCTGAATAACTATTCATTCGACTCAAGATACCATATAGAAAAAACGTCGAAATTTCCATTACCAAATTTAAAATTTTTTTTTCATGAAATTGTGTACCTCATGAATCTGGTAAAAGACTACCAGCTTAAATGTGTGTGTGGAGGTGTACAGGCCCTGAAAAAGAGGGGGACTGGAGGGGGTAATTTAGAAAGGGACATCTAAAATAGATACTTCTAAAATAATAATAATAAAATGTAACATAAAATTTTAAACTACGTTTTCTGACTCGAGTTTCCGAAACCCTCTCTCTCTCTCTCTCTCTCTCTCTTGTCGGATTGAAAATCTTAGCGATTAAAAAGACTAATAAATAAAACACCACGAAATAAGGAGTTGATTTGTGCGGGCTTTATAAGAAACTGCGATAACTATTCTGATAGGGCTGCTGATGAGTCCCCGGTAGGGACGAAACACGTGTCCAGCCTATCCAAACGAATACTATTCTTTTCTTCTCCCGCTCACTGCTCTTCTGGTTCGGTGTTATCATCAAACGCAACCGCAACACTCTCTCTCTCTCTTTCTCTCTCTCTCTCTCTCTCTCGTGTGTGTGTGTGTGTGAGGTTTGTTTGTGTGTGTGTTGTGTTGTGTGTAGTATGTGTGAGGTTTGTGTGTGTGTGTTTTGTGTGTTTAACGCGCTTAAAATTTAACGTCATCTACCTTATTTTTGGAAAATAAATACAAAAATAAAGGAAATTTATCCTTTATTTGTTTATTTAATCAAAAATATATGTGTAAATATTGCTTGGAAATCTGATTAAGATTTGTAAAGTGTTGTTTTATATTTCAGTATGTATTTATAACGCGTTATTAGCATAATAAAAATTTAACATAATAATGGAAAAGATGAAGAATTGAATAAACAGATGAATGAATGAATAATAAATAAATAAATAATGGTTTATATGTGCTTAAAAATTCGCATTAGCGAAACGTGTAAGTTGTTTCTACATCCTACTAGATTACATTTAGAAAGTAACTTAGTAACATAACTAAGTATAGTAATATCATTAATATTGTAGTAGAAGCAATAGTAGTAGATGTAGTAACAGCAGCAGTGGCAGTAGCAGCAGCAGTATTGGTAGCAGTAAAAGTAGTAGTAGTAGTTGTTGTAGTAGTAGCGTTAGGAGCAAATTTCGTATAATGCTTAAGTAACGGAAGTTTTTGTAGCAGCAGAAGTATTAACTCTAGTGGTTGTAATTCTAACAATAGTAACATTTTAGTAGTATTTATTTTAACTTTTTAAAAATTAAAAAAAAATTTTTAAATCATCAGGGCGACAAAGACTAATCTTTTTGAGCATAGTGACCAACATCTGCATCATCACAACCTATGGTGTATTTATCTACGCAGGTTTATTCATGGAAATTATTTCAATATTTGTAATATAGTATCCAGTTTGAATAAATTATGTTAATGTGAGTCTTCATAGTGAGAATACTGAAGACGAGATATGAATACTAAATAAATAAATGCTAAACATACAAGCATACCCAAATATTGTACGTACATATACATATATACATATTGTACATGTACATACGCACACACGTATATTGTATAATCACACATATACACATACACACACACAACAAACACACAAACAGGCTACATAATGCTAACAAAATTCTACTACCCACTTAACTTACTGGCCGATTTTGACCCGTGGTTACTGACACGCATGCTTCTATGGGGTGGTTTGGCCGGATTTTTGGTCCATTTTTTTGGTTTCAACTTATTTTTTCGCAATTCTCTTCATTCACCATCATCATCGTCATCTTTACCATCATCACCACAATCATCACCAGATATTTGGTCATCATCACCACAATCATCACCAGGTATTTGGTCATCATCACCACAATTATCACCAGATATTTGGTCATCATCACCAGATATCTGGATATGCTGGGTCAACTCCCAATTGGCCAACCGGAAGTCCGGCGTTCATTTCATGATGACGTTCATATTATTCAAGATGTCGGCCATGGTTTTTGTCTTCTCTATGCTCATTATTGTTCTGGTTCAGACTGCCAATATCGATACTGGACTTAAGGTGGTCTTTAATAATAATAATAATAATAATAATAATAATAATAATAATAATAATAATAATATTAATAATAATAATAATAATAATGCTATTATTATTACTGTTTTTAACGTATTTTCCGTTACGATTGTGTTAATTTTTTGTTTGGTTCGTGATCTTACTGGCTATCTTAATAATTATTCATCCATTCCTTTAAAGTATTTCAACGAATCATTCCTTTAATCAAAATAATTTGTTCGTTCACTTATTCATCCACCCACTCACTCACTCACTCACTCACTCACCCACCCACTCACTCACTCACTCCAACCAGTTAGGCTTCAAGGTATCACTGGCGTCATACGGCAAGCGTCCAAGCATAAAAGAGAACATCGACCACATGCAGCAGCTCTTCAAATGTTGCGGCGACGAAGACTTCAAAGACTGGTTCATTCTCGAATGGGCGGCCGACGGTTTTTTACTTTCCGGTTCGACTAAACTGGTCAGTCGGTTTCGGTTTTTTAATCGGTTTATGATCGGTATTCTGCCAGTATTTTAGTGAGTATTTACTTTCAGCGTATCTGTTAAGCGGAGTTCGTGGTTGGCTTTGTTCTTATATCTGCTACTTTCGAAATAGAAATATATTTTTTTATACAGTTAAACAGTAATAAAACATAAAATATAAAACTCACTTGTCTGCGAATTCTCGCGCCGACCAATGGCATTTCAGAGCGTTCCATTCAGCTGTTGCAACAGGCGGGCCATGCGCCCTTGCATCGCCTTCGATGTTGAGAGTGCCCACCCGGGGTACAATAGGGTCACCGATAAAACCATTTACACCGAGGGTCAGTGATGAGGATGATGGGGGATGATGATGATGATGGCGATGACGAAGGTGATGATGATGGTAGTGATGATAATTATGATGATGATGAGGATGATGATGATGGGAATGATGATGATGGTAGTGATGGTAATGATGATGGTAGTGGTGGTGGTGGTAATGATGATGATGGTGGTGGGAGAAGTAATGATGATGATTATTTTGGATTTTTAGGATTATGGTGGTTAATAATGAATATGACGCCGATAATAACTTCACTTTGATGTCTGTGGTTAAAATAACGACCACGACGATGATGACGATTGCAATGATAACAAAATTATTAACAACAGTTATTATTATTATTATTATTATTTATTATAATAATAATATTATAATTCAGCAGTTATTATTAATATTTTAATTATAATTAAAAATTATAACGAAAGGTTGCAAAAAAGTATTCACCGTGGGTTACAGTGCATTTAAGAAGACTTACATGATCATTCCAATGCTCTCTTGCCTTGGCCTCTACATATTAAACTTGATTATATGCAGGCACGGTGAATGAATGAGCGCATGAATGAATGAATGAGTGGGTGAATGAATTAATGAATGAGTGGGTGAATGAATGAATGAATGAATGAGTGAGTGAGTGAGTGAGTGAGTGAGTGAGTGAGTGAGTGAGTGAGTGAGTGAGTGAGTGAGTGAGTGAGTGAGTGAATGAATGAATGAGTGAATGAATGAACGAACGAACGAACGAACGGATGAATGAATGAATGAATGAACGAATGAATGAGTTGTGAAATGACTGGATTGGTAAAAGGATGTTGGAAGAATGAATGAAAGACTGGATGTCTGAACAAATAAATGGACTAACTGATAGATTGATAGATATATGAATAATTAAATAAATACATAGATTAATTAATTAATTAATTAATTGTCTCCAGATATGCACAATCATCAATAGACAGCGCACTTGATAGCGGCCATCCAGCCTTCCAGGGGTGATGATGATGATGATAAATAATAATATCATAATAACAATTATTAATGCTGTTATTATGATTGTTATTATTATTATTATTTTCATTATTATCGATATTATTGTAATGGTGTAATGGTTAAGATGCCTGGCTCTGGTGCTGAAGTGACTCTGTTCAAATGCTGACACCTCTGACAAAGACTTAGAAGAAAATTGTGTTAAACGCTAATAATAATAATACAATAAATAATAATAATACTATTATTAATAATAATGACAATAGTAATAATACAATAAACAATAATAATAATAATAACTCCAGACTTGGATACTTGCTGGCCTGTGGAGTTTATGCGGCAAAAATTCAGAAGAGACTCCCAATGGCCGTCAGGCAGAAGCTCGCTGGCTCTAGCATCAGCAAGAGTTTGGCCGATACCGCGAGTTTACCACTAAGGTACGATTTGTTGTTGTTGTTGATGATGTTGTTGTGGTTGTGGTTGTTGATGTTGTTGTTGTGGTTTTTGGTGTTGTGGTTGTAAATGTTGTTGTTGTGGTTGTTGTTGTTGTTGTGGTTGTTGTTGTAGTTGTTGATGATGTTGTTGTTGTTACTGTTGATGATGTTGTTGCTAATGATGTTGTGGTTTTTTTTATGATGATGTTGTTGCTGTTTGTGGTGGTTGTAGTAGTAGTAGTTGTTGTTGCTGCTGATGTTGTTGTTGTGGTTGTTGTTGTTATGTTGTTTTTTTAATGTTATTGGTGAAGATGGCTGTGATGCGTTCTCGTAAAAAGTACCTTCATCATCACAATCTTATTTATCATCATTACTGCGATCACTATAACCACCATCATCATCCCAATCACCATCATCACCATCATCATCACCATCATCATCATCATTGCCATCATCATCATCATCATCACCATCATCACAATCATCATCAGTCAACGTCTAAAGCATGGGGAATTCCAAGAAAAATTAAGACGAGCCCAAATGGATCAGGAAAATAAGGCGATAATGGAGTAATGATAATGATGTTGATGATAATGATGACGATGATATTGATAGTGATGATGATAAACACATCGGCACTCAGTTTCTCACGCGTGCAAAACTACTCTTGTGATAATTAAGATTGGAATTTTAATGGTAATAATAATATAAATAATAATAATAATAATAACGATAATAATGATAATAATAATGACTTGCAAACATAAATTTTCTTTTAGGGGTAGGAACTATTGAACGGATGGATGAACAGCTATTACGTTCTAAACAAAAAACATTTTTACTCAGCTGTAAAAAAAAATTAATTATACTCAGTGTTGGAATTAGGACTGTGGACCTATTTTAGGTGCTAAATAAATTAAACATTAATTTTTTTTTATATTCATAGTTTTTTTAATTTCCAATTATTTTCATTTTTCTTTAGCTGTTATACAAATGTTTTTAAAAATATAAATGGAGGTTTCTTTTTGACACATCGTCCAATTTGGCAATAAAATTTTTGACCTGACCACATTTTACATCACACGGTCTTTGAGACAGCCGAACTAAGAAAGTGTTCGACTTCTGTGTTACAGAGTCCGGGTTTGAAAACAAAGAGAAGCCTGTGTCTATGCGAAGCTTGCATAATGCCTTCGTTTTCTGTAAGTCTCAATAAGCTCTATCTTTGGAAAAATAAAGAGTTTAAAAAATGAAAAAAAAAATATCTATCTATGCCTCATATTATCATATCTATGTTATTTGTTTACAAATAGGCAAAAGAAATTAATAATAATAATAATAGTGGCATTAATAGGAAGAAAAAGAAGAATAATAAACAGCCGAGATGTCGTGCATGTGTTTGAAGCTCAAGATGGACGAAGAATGTAAATACAAATATTTTTATTCATTTATCATTACTACTACTGCTACTACTACTACTTCTGCTGCTGCTGCTGCTACTACTACTTCTACTTCTACTACTTCTACTACTACCGCATCGTCATCAACAACAACAACTTTAAACTTCATATATTTTCGTATTCATTCGGATTTATGATTATTTTTTATAATTATACAAATCATCGTCATCAACATCACCACCATCATCATCAACCTAACCACCATCATTACCATCATCATCACCCTAACCACCATCATTACCATCATCATCACCCTAACCACCATCATTACCATCATCATCACCCTAACCACCATCATTACCATCACCAGGGAGACTGAGGATGTTACTAATCGTCCGAATCACTGACGTCATCCTCATGGCCGACTGTTTGGTACTGGTCATTTCCGGTCAGATACTTTCGACGACCTACTACAGTTCACTGCTCCTCTTTCCTGACTTGAACCCATCCTTCCTCTGCTCTCTCATGTTTTGGGGGGGTACAGCTGGAATAGCATTCCATTTTCTGGGTTGGTTGGTTGGTGGATTGGCTTGTTGGTTGGATGGTTTGTTGGTTGGTTGTTGGTTATTTGATTGGTTGGCTAGTTGATTGGTTGTTTTGCTGTTTGGCTGACTGATTGATTGATCGAATGAATAACAGTCCCTTTTCTTTGCAACTCTACGTTTCCATTTTTTTTCTAAA